GTTTTTCACGGCAGAATCCCCACATTTCCCCCTCAGCAATCCCACATTTTTCCCTCACAAATCCCACCGGGCCGCAGCCCCCCCTGACCTCGGCGATCTCCTGCTTGTTGTCCACCACCAGCAGGGGCACGCTGAGCAGGATCAGCCGGAATTTCTCCACGGCCTCCTCGAACTTGCCGGCCGTGGTGAGCTGGTAGCAGAGCTGCAGCCGCTGGATCAGATCGTTCAGCTTCAGCCCCACGGCCGGCAGCGCGTTCTTCAGCCCGGCCTCCTTCCTGGAACCCCAAAAAATCCCGGATTTAGGGATGAGGGCGGTGGGAATGGTGTGGGCCCGGTGAGGGTGGGATGGAATTCCTGGAGCGGCCCAAGGAATTCTTGGGAATTCCCTCCAAAGATGGGGATGCACCATCCCTCCCTGAGTCCTTTCCAATGGTTCACGATGATTTTCCATGGAAAAATTCCCCCCAGATATCCACGGAAAATGGGATTTTCCAATGCTTTTCCATGGAAAAATTCCAAGGAAAACAGGAAAATTCCATGGAAAAATTCCAGGGAAAATTTCCAGGGAAAATGGAATTTTACAATGCTTTTCTATGGAAAAATTCCCCCGAATACCCAACCTAAACCTGTCCGGGTGCATTTCCATGGAAAAATTCAATGGAAAATGGAATTTTGGGAAAATGGTTCCCCATGCTTTTCCATAGAAAAATTCCCCACAAATATCCAACCTAAGCCTGTCCTAGCACTTTTCCATGGAAAAGTTCCCTCAAATATCCAACCTAAACCTGTCCTGGTGCTTTTCCATGGCAAAAATCTCCCCAAATATCCATGGAAAATGGAATTTTCCAATGTTTTTCCACGTAAAAAGGAATTTTGGGAAAACGGTTCCCAATGCTTTTCCATGGAAAAATTCCCCACAAATATCCAACCTAAGCCTGTCCTGGCACTTTTCCATAGAAAAGTTCCCTCAAATATCCAACCTAAACCTGCCCTGGTGCTTTTCCATGGAGAAATTTCCCCCAAAATATCCAATCTAAACCTGCCCTGGTGCTTTTCCATGGAAAAATTCCATGGAAAATGGAATTTTGGGAAAATGGTTCCCAATGCTTTTCCATGGAAAAATTCCCCCCAAATATCCAATCTAAACCTGCCCTGGTGCTTTTCCATGGCAAAAATCTCCCCAAATATCCACGGAAAATGGAATTTTCCAATGTTTTTCCACGTAAAAAGGAATTTTGAGAAAACGGTTCCCAATGCTTTTCCATGGAAAAAGCCCAAGGAATCCCTGGAATTCTGAGCGTCCACCTCAGACCGGCTGGGCTCATTCATCCCTCACAAATCCGGGATTTCAAACCCTGGAAAAGCCCCTGGAATGCGGGAAAGGCGCTCTCACCAGTTGCGGTGTGGGAATCCGTACATGGCGGGGAGGCTGGGGAGCGCCTGGAACGTCGTCCTGCCCCGGGAGAAGGTCTGCAGGAAAAGCTGCTTGTAGGGCCCGAAGTTGGTCACCCCCACCTGGTCGTGGAGCAGCTGAGAGGGAAAAAATAAAAATAAAAATAAAAATAATAAAAATAAATCATGAATCGGGTCGGGAAAACATGGATCAGGCAGCGCCGAGGCCTCGCTCGGGGTGGTGTCCACAGGAAAACGGGGATGGAATGTTCCCAGGTGGATGCAAATGGAGGGAGGATTTGGGAAGTAAGGGGGAAAGGGGGCGTTTTTCCATAAAAAAAATCCCATGGAAAACTCACCCTCATGGCTGTCTCAAAGGATCCCGCCAGGATGTGATCCACGGGGAGCTGGGAATTGTTGCACCACACCTGAAAAAGAGGGAAGGGAATCCAGGTGGGATTGGGATGGGCACAGTTCCCACAATGGGCTGGAAAATCCCCCCAGAAAACCAAAAAAAGAAAAGGGAAAAGGAGAGAATTCCCAGTTTTCCAAGGAAATCCAGGATTTTACCTGGGCTGGGCTGGTGCCTTTGGTGGGAGGCACAAAGAATCCGTCCTCAGCCGTTCCTGCGGGGCCGGCGGGGACATCCTGAGGGGAAAATCATGGAATTCCAGCTGAAATCTGAGCTGGGTGATCCCGAATTCCCGAGGAATCGGCGCTGGGACACCCCGGGATTCTCCTACCAGCTCAGGGGGAAGATCCAAATCTTCCTCCACCTCCCATCCTCCTCCTTCCTCCTGCCCTTTTCCCGCTCCTTCCTCTCCGAATCCTTCCCCGGCATCCACGAATCCGTCTGCAGGGAGCAGGGAATGTCAGAGGGGAAGGGGGAATGGAAAATTCCGGGATTTTCCCATGGAAAATTCTGGGGTTTTCTCATGGAAAATTCCAGGGTTTTCTCATGGAAAATTCTGGGGTTTCCCATGGAAAATTCCAGGGTTTTCCCAAGGAAAATTCCAGGGTTTTCCCAAGGAAAATTCCAGGGTTTTCCCATGGAAAATTCTGGGGTTTCCCATGGAAAATTCCAGGGTTTTCCCATGGAAAATTCCGGGGTTTTCCTCCCACCTTCATCCAGCTGCAGCTCGGCGTCCTCGCCCCAGCCCTCGGTGCCCACGGTGTCGATGTCGATGTCGGCGGCCAGGGCTCCTCCTTTCCCTAAAAATAAAACAGGGAAAGACCCTTGGGAAAGGATTCCGTGAGGGGAAAATCTCATCCTGACCTTGCGCTGTGGCAGCTCGGGGTGGGATTTTGGGGAATTTTGGGATTTGTGAGGGTGAGGGAGAGCTCCAGGATTGTGGGGTTCGTCCCCAGCTGGACAGCCACTCTGAATTCCAGGAACTCCAATCCCAGAACTGATCCCATTCCCAGG